GTACTTCCGTAATGAACTGCCTGAGTGGACTATCTCCTTCCAGAACTCAACGTCGAAGACACCGACACATGGCAGCAAGGAGGTACCTTTTCGCAACTTCATAGCAACGAGGCACCCACCGTGGGTCGAGACTGGGAACGCTGGCTATCTGACGCTGGTAGCACACTACGACTCGAAGTACCACCCAGATGGCTTCATTGGAGCCACTGATTCCGCGGCACCATGCGCCATGATTATGAGCGCTGTAAGAAGCATAGATTCCGCTCTGACAAGAAAATGGCAGCAAATGCAAGACGAAGGCCTCGACCTGGACTTTGACGAGGAGCACTCGAGAGGCATACAGGTCTTCTTCCTGGACGGGGAGGAAGCGTTCCAGAGCTGGACAGCGACAGACAGTATCTACGGAGCAAGGTCACTGGCAGAAGAATGGGATCAGACGACATATCCAGCTATGAGCACATACAAAACTATGCTCAACTCGATCGAGCTATTTGTGCTACTCGATCTGCTAGGATGCGGAGAAAGTCTCCCAATTCCGAGCTGGATGCAGAACACTCACTGGAGCTACCAGCACATGGCTGAGATGGAGTCAAGACTTCGAGATCTGGACCTGTTCAAAAGTGATCCGAAGCAAATTTGGCTGAAGGAAAAAGACAAGAAGAACGATGGAGTCTTCAATCAGAATATCATGCAGGATGACCATATTCCATTTGTGGCTCGGGGTGTGCCGACGCTGCATCTTATTCCTTCTCGGTTCCCTTCGCAGTGGCATAAGATCGGCGACAACGCAGAGTATCTGGACATCCCTACAGTTGAAGACTGGTCGCTTTTGACGGCGGCCTTTGCGGCAGAGTATCTAGAGCTTGAAGGATATTTCGATGAGCAGCCAATCATCCAAAACGCCCCGGTCAAAGACGAACTGTGAGTTTCACTCTTGCATCTTGCGTTCGCACATAATTAATTGTGTTCAGACCACCTTGAAAGTACCTACAACATTCAAAATTTCCACCATGAACTACATCCAGTCCTCAGGCTCGCAACAGCGGAATTTGTGGCCCTATTTCGGGACTGGCCCAGCGAGCCAGCTGTGGCACAGCCAGACCGTTACGGCCCCCGCTAAGGTATGGCCTGCTTTATGCCGTGTGGAGACACACCAAGCCGAGCACTTCCAAGGCAGCCAGACTAAGAGAATCTCTGCAGCAGCAACACCGGTCGCGCAAGAGTGAGCGTCAAGTGCAGGTCGAGACTGAGAACAGTACGGGGTGCTGTCGACATTGTAGCGCTTTTGGTACAGATGCGCTGCTCCATAAGGACAGGTTTTCTTGACCATTCGAGATGGGAGGCCAAACCCATGCTGCGCAATCTATGTCAGAATGTTGTTGCAAAAGTGCTCATGGTTTGTGGGTGGTAGAAGAGACTGTTAGTGGGCCGCTCAAAAGACAATAGTTGAGGCGATGTTGGGAAGCTCGATTTCAATAGCAATAGTGAAGAGAAATTCCATAGCGCCCGTCCTAAGTAACTGTACAGAGACCTTTGTACACCCACAAGAAAACGTCCGTTCCACGATCATGCCCTCCTCCAAGCCTCTCTCGTCCTCCAAAATATCTCACTTCCCCACGACGAACCCACTACTCCCTCCCTCCCACTCTTACTCCCAAACTTCTCCTCAACCGCCCGTTTCGCCGTCTCCCCCGCCCCCTTAACCTTACTCGCCGCCCTCTCCACCCGTTCCATCGCCTCCCCACTCTCCCGTTCAATCCTCTCCCTCCAAGCTCTATCCTCCGCATCCCGCGCCTCCAGCTCAGCAAGCCACTTATCCCTCTTCTCCAACGCCTTCTTCTGCTCCACCACCTTCTCAAAACTCTTCCTCTTCAGTCTCTCATCCTGATAGAATATACTCCCCGCCACAATCGCGACTAATGTAAATCCCTGCGCATAGATACGCGCGCGAAACATCTTGTTCGTTTGGTGGTGGTCGCCGTGGCGGATGGATTTTGTGGCTTGGTAGAGGGCGTAGCAGGTTGCGAGGCCGCCGAGGGGGATGAGGGGTTCCTGGCGGAGTTTGCGCCATAGTTTTGAGGAGCGGGATTCGTTGAAGAAGTCGGCGTCGCTGTCGAAGGAGGAGGGGATGTCGCCGGTGGAGAGGGGGGCGGGTTCGCGGTCTGCCATGTTGAAAGACTTAGGTAGATTTGCGCTGGACCAGCTTGAGGAATTGTGGTTGTAGCTGCTGTGGTAGAAGGTGCGTGTATGTTATTGGGTCGTGCCTTCCTCTTTCGGTGTCAAATGTGGTGATGTCAATATGCAGTTTCGAAGTTCTGGGTAGGAGCGACCGGCGCTGAGTTGCGTGGAAGGTCTGTTTAGTCGTGAAGCGCAATATCAGTTGCAAGACCCAACGGCAGTGGATGATGCCCTTTGAGAGCCTTCAAGGGTTCTCCAACAGGGCAAGTCATGTCATCGACTTCCTTGCGGCGGGAGCTAAGTAGAGATCGAGGCTTGAGAGCGGAGCCTTGCTCAGACCCGCTTATCGATAAGCTTATTTATTGACAGACCGCCTGTGGAGCCAAAGGCAGCGGAATAACTTTTTGCAAGAGTCGAGGATGCGAGCTTTGGTACCACGCGATGCTGTCAAAATTCGCAAAATAGGCATGCAAGCGGACCGGCCAGCAACTATTTAGTTTGAGAATCCTGTGACAATCACTGCAAGTTTCCCATAATCTGAACCGCTGAACAGAATCTAAGGAACACGCCGTTAGCTCAACAATCTGCAGACCTGAGATCAAGAAACCAGCTGGTGTACAACACAGTTCGCGAGAGTCGTAATACCTGAGTCGTGATAACACAACAATCCCTAAAAGCAGCTGGAAGCACCTCTCGAAGCACATCCGACGCGCCAAGCCTGCAAAGACTGAACCTCAGATCGACTGCTGGTGCTCTCCACGGAGTGCACCTCGTGGGCTGGCCATGGACGGGGAAGTCAGCACAAATGGCGGGCCGCAGACCCCTACCACACCAAAACGAACCTCAACTTTAGCACTTACAGAGTACGCCAGTAATCCAACTCCAGCCAGAACACCTCCTAGTGAGACGGCTGTACCGCTCTACAATATCCCACAGAACTTCATTCTGCCCAATGGCTTTCCAGACTATCTTCGCCTTATCCTCTGCTCCAGGGTCTACGATGTAATTACAGAGACGCCTCTATCTCATGCCGTCAACCTCTCCAACCGCCTCGAAGCCAAGGTCCTCCTCAAACGCGAAGATCTCCTCCCAGTCTTCTCCTTCAAGCTCCGTGGCGCCTACAACAAGATGGCCCACCTAACACAACAAGAGAAATGGAAAGGCGTAATAGCCTGCTCAGCCGGTAATCACGCCCAAGGAGTTGCATACAGCGCCCGCCACCTCAAGATCCCAGCAACAATAGTCATGCCCTCCGGCACCCCAGCAATCAAACACAAGAATGTCTCCCGGCTAGGCGGTAGCGTCGTCCTGCACGGTCAAGACTTCGACTCAGCAAAAGAACACTGCCACCTGCTCGAGAAGCAGCACGGTCTAACGAACATCCCACCCTTCGACGACCCTTACGTGATAGCCGGCCAAGGCACAATAGGCATGGAACTCCTCCGCCAAACCAACCTCCAAAACCTAGACACAATCTTCTGCTGTGTCGGCGGCGGCGGCCTCATAGCCGGCATAGGCATCTACGTTAAGCGGATAGCCCCCCACGTCAAGATAATAGGCGTAGAAGCCAACGACGCAAACGCAATGGTTCAATCCCTCAAAGCCGGCAAACGAGTCCTCCTCAAAGATGTCGGCCTCTTCGCAGACGGCGCAGCAGTAAAAACAGTCGGCGAGGAAACATTCCGAATCTGCCAGGAAGTCGTCGACGACGTCGTAATGGTCACCACCGATGAGATCTGCGCCGCAATCAAAGACACCTTCGAAGACACACGCTCTATCCTCGAGCCGGCCGGCGCATTATCACTCGCAGGCCTAAAGAAATGGGTAGCTGAGAACCCCTCCTCGGATCCAAACAGGGAACTAGTGGCCGTAACAAGCGGCGCAAACATGAACTTCGACCGTCTCCGCTTCGTCGCCGAGCGCGCAACATTCGGTGAGCAGAAAGAGGCGCTCCTCACCGTTACGATACCGGAGAAACCGGGTTCTTTCGCTGCCCTCGTCGAAGCGGTTCTCCCCGCCGCAGTCACGGAGTTCAGCTACAGATACAACACGAACGATCCCAGCAAGGCCCACATCCTAGTTGGTGTGTCCATATCCAACGCCTCATCTCGCAACACAGAGCTCTCGTCTCTCTTTGCCCGTCTCGAACAAGGAGGAATGACGCCGCGTGATGTCTCTGATGACGAACTGGCAAAGACACATATTCGCCATCTCAACGGTGGCCGGTCCTCCGTTAGTGATGAACGAGTCTACATGTTTGAGTTTCCCGAGCGACCAGGCGCACTCTTCGCTTTCCTGCGAACACTCAGACCAGGTCAGAATATCAGTTTGTTCCACTATAGGAATTATGGCGGTGATGTGGGTAGGATATTGGCGGGAATACAGTGTCCGGAGGAGAAGAGGGGCGAGTTACATAGTTTTCTAAGGGAGATTGGGTATCCGTTTACGGAGTGTACGGAGAACGAGACGTATAAGACGTTCTTGCGGGAGTAGATAGCATCGTAAGACGACATGAGGGAGCACCATACCATGATAGAATCCTACATAGAAATCGGTGAAGCACGGCTCAACTGAATGTAAGAATGCATCAAGTACCCTTGATTTTGTTCCGGGGGCATGTCCGCTCTCAAAGCAAAGAATAATGGGGTAGGCACGCTCTTCTCCGCCCTCTAAAATTCGCATTCTCAATCTCGATGATCTCAAACCAGCAAGCAAAAATAAGTCTCACTTTGCGCAAGAGGCGAAAGAAGACAAGAAGATATTACTTCTAGGTCTATAATCCATTAATACTGGCTCGATCGACACAGGTTTACCTGTAGCACTCACCACAAGGAGGATTGAACTCCTGACCTTCTCCGTTTTACATGTGTAAAGGAGACGTGATAGCCACTACACCATGCGACCGTTGATCTGTGCGTCGAAATGAACACAAATTTCGAGAAAATATTGAATGTCAAATATATGTACCTTTTTGCAACTTCCGCCCGAGCATGTGAAAATGAAGCTGTCTTGTAGCGGGGCTCGAACGCTGTTATAAGCAAGCACCTACTATGGGCGGAAAGAGTCTTCATGACTTGTTGAAGCTGCAATAACCAACAATCTAGACGACAACAATTGGATTGTCGTACGAAAAGAAGTCATGAACATTATGAGACGGGTATCCTGCCCTGAAGTCTAACATCCGCTTTTGTCGTCTTTGGCTATCACGCTTTGCGATCGATAATGCATGATTTCTGTCAATCAGCGCCCTCACCAACTTGAGACCATGCCAGCCGTTAGACCTTTACCTTCTACCGTGCCCGCGCGACGCCCTCATGCTCAGAACAATACGGTTTTGATAACAGTAGTACATGATATAAACATAATTAAAATCAAACAAGAATCAGCTCCAGGCTAGATTCGAATACTAGCCGACCCTTGGGACGGAACCTACTACCAACGAGTGGACGAGCTTGCTATGAGACAACGCCGGCGTCGTCATAGCGAGTGACTAGTGGTATCAAGCACTAGAGGTCCACAGAGAGAGCGTCACGTAAAGCGTGTTTCGTGGACATTATTTATGACGGGAGCTGTAGGCTCTTTCGAAACCCGAATGGCTCGCAGGTTGACTTGCTGTACATGAAGGAATGACCGGATGATGCTTCGAGTCAGCGAAGCTTTTCTTCCTGTGAAGTGGACGGGGAGGAGAGGAGGTCGAAGGACGTTTGCTGGTCTTAGAGGTTGACGGTATCGGCTCGAGCATTGATTTGAAGTTGGACGTTGCATCCATGGCTGCCATCACAATGCTTTGACAAGCACTGGCATCGGCATCGAAAGACCTACCCTCGAATGAGCCTGTCTCGAGGTTATGGACCAATGTCTCGCGGACAGAGTTCCTGGTAGCCTCCGACCACTTAATGTTCCATCTATACCCCGTCGAGTCCTCCAGCTGATCGAGTTGATTCTGCCACAAAAGCCTTGTAGCATTCTGTGCAAGAAGGCTTTGAATGAGCAAGGTCCACTTCAATTGCTGGCGTGTGCAACCTTTATGATGCTCCATGTGGTGATTGACCCATGCTGCGACGCTGTACGTGGGGTGTTTACAGATCCAACAACCCCATACTTGCTTGGGGTTCGGGTTAGGCTCGTTGCCTTGACAAGCTGGCGCCGAACTGGCTCCATTCCCCGGCATATTGCAGTCTTTTGCGTGCTCTTCGGTATGGTGCTTCTTGAACCGGGCCAGCCGGCAAGTTCTAAAGTTACAGTAGCTGCTCTCGCCTGGAACGAGGTGCAAGCACAGATACTGGATTGGTCTATCGTGCTCGGCTGTCATATGTGATACGAACTCTTTCTGTGATTGGAAATCTTTCGAACAACGTGGACAAGGTGACCGATAGCAAGGCTTAGGTGGAGGAGGTTGGGTATAGCCAATGAAGTCTTTGTTCGGTACCGCTGGCTCGTGGAGAGACGCTTTTGTCGAAGAATCGAGATCCCTGTTGATACTGCTGCATGGAGTCATTCTCTGAGAAGGCGTTGTGGTTGCCGAATAAGTGAGTAGATGTGCTGTGTTCAAGCTTGGCTGAGCTGGAAGGCTCAAAGACATCTGTGCATCGGAAGAGGAGAAGCCGTTGTGGCGATGATAGGCATTCTGGGGTTCATAAGTAACACTGTCTTCCACAGATGGTATGATGGGCTCGTCAGAGCCTAGAGCAAACCCGAAGTCGAAGCCGGACATACTGGGAGCTTCAAAAGCTGGGGTTGACCTTGGGACAAACTGCGAGTCTAGTTTCCTCGATTCGGTGCCTCGCAATTGCTGGTCGTAGCACATCGCTGGGGGCAATCCGTACAAGTCTATGGCCTTGGAGGGATCGTCGACAATGATGCCGGAGTCCCGCAGAGTGTCTCCAGTAAGTACAGACCAGCGAGGGCCATTAGCGTGCTGAAAAGGACCTGTATACATGTGCGGAGACGTCTGACTCGCTGAAGACACGAGCTGCTGTCCACTCACACTGCTCAAGTCCAGGAATTGAATGGCATTGTACAGTGACTGCCATCCGTCATCAGCTTGAAGCTCTTCGCAGATCTGAAAGTATGCCGCTTGCGCTGGTCGGCAGAACAGACGTTGCGCGTCTCTCGGGGACATACCATGCTGCCTGAGGATAGCCAACGACTTAAGTATGCTCGGTGTTTCAGGGACCGCAGGCTCAAAATCAGGTATCGCAGTTCGTGGAATTTCGCGATAGAATAGTTGACGTGTTCGGTCGCCATCGATGCATGGCTGCGAGCTGGTTCTGCCGGCATGATTATTGTATTTCGAGACACTCATTTCCGAGTGTTGGCCCGCAAAACTTCAGAAGGATGCACTTCGATTCAGCGGGGGTATTGCTGGAGCCTGATGAAATGCCCGCTTCATGGATAGGTAGTCGTGCAGCGATAGGGTCTGTACTGGTGGTCACGTTAGGTCGCGTCAGTTTTGGGCTCAGATGGGCGACACTACTGTTGCTGGCTGTAAGTAAGATTGCCGAATGGAAGGTAATGTGGACACCTGACAGAACGGAGAGGTGAAGAAGCAAACCGAGTACAGTGAAGGAGTGGCGTCGATTAGCGGCAGTACGAAGGGAGTATACCAGGCGATATTTGCTGAAGCATATATACAATCTTTGGTTGCAATACCACTTCGTGGTTGAACTGGCAAAGGGAAGGCGCCACCATGTCTTTGATGCCTCGAGCACTGCGGCAGGCCCAGCAATGCAGGAACTATAGTCTACAGAGCCCGATTCAGCAGCGACAGCATGCGTATATGGGTGTTGCAGTGCAGGAAGAGGATAGGATCAGTCAACCCAGATGGCAGAATGTGGTTAAGTGACTAGAGTGTGGATCGCGTCTGAAACCTACTAAACCATTAGCGCTCCGGCTGTGGTTCCCGAGATCACTGACGAACCAGCAGTTTGCATATCGATCATGAAACACGACGGTCGTCATGCGCGCAGCGTCCTGTATGTCTACTGGCTTGTTGCAGCATAGACAGCGAATCCGTTCAGCCGTAATATAGAGAAAGCGTGCAGTTGGGAAAAGGAGTAGGTCCCTAAGGCTGCTGACACGGAACTTGACTGGGAACGAGGAGGAGTGGTGGCCACAACTTGTTGTCGCATGCCTCTATCTAGCACTCACGAAGATAAAATCGAGTAAAGTCCATGTTGTGGTTAGCCCCTATAACATCAGGCAAAGCTGACCATGGTTCACAATTGTCACCGCCATTATCGCCCCTTTATCTGTTTCCGCCGCGACAATCGCCCAGAGACGTATGCTTGTAGGGAGGCTGGCGCCATACTAACCTATACCGCTAGACTTGTGATCCATCTGAAGGCATCTAAGTCTTTATACAACAAGAAAGACCACTAGCTGCTCGAATCACCACAACTAGGACTCCAACACAGAACCGGGCCTGGGGTATGATGGGGGCTACTGACGACTACGTTCAGATCCTGCCCTGCAGTAATATGAAAAAGCAATGACCAATGCCTCTGTGATCGATCACAGCCTTATGACTTCTCGAAGGGCGTGTTCATCTTGAATAAGGGTGTCACTCCTCACGTGCCACTCTCTCACTAAAGACTTCTAAAGATTTGTGCTTGACCGGTCACGACACCAATGTCTATGGCTGCACCAAGCTAAGATGTTAGGCGGAGGCAGTACTTCCGTCGGCACACCGATGCGTAGCCAAGTCTCAGGAAGTTGCCCCAATATGCGGATAACAAGGCATAGTTGATGTTTTTCACAACGATGTGACTCTTCACTATAGGCATCCTGAAGGGTTTGTGGAAACGAAAGACTATCTTGTGTGTACAATAACGAGTTCCTCCTATCATTCGAAGCCTCACTACTAGACGCCGAACTTCATATGAGCGGCAAAGCACCTCGCCTGTAGCATAACTACTACTATAGATGTGCATCTGCCGCACAAGCGACTCCGGCAGCTCCAGGATCTAAAACTGCAGCATTACAAAACCTAGTGTCGTGAATCCTACTTCTCGGTGCCGCCATACCAAGAACATACATTCACGGTGAGCCTCTGAAGAGATCTCACTGGTCATAGCGTGCTGATGAACAGTTTTTGCGTTACATGATCTGAAACAGTTGTCTGTTGCTGACGCCACGGCGCTTACCCGTCGATCTTGGCTGGAAGCAGCCTGCAGCATATATAGTTTGCAGAGCCAAGAGTAGAGTCAGCTTTACATGAGATAAGCAGGATAAGGACACGACCGTGTGGTTGCATGAGCATTCGAAGTCAATGGTTCCGAGGGGGATGCACTTCTGTAGCATTACCCTTGTCATATGGTAGACAAAACCGGGGTCGAGTTAGCAGAGGCGCCATTTCAGTCTGCCACAGAGCAAGAATGTCAACGCAAACTTTCCACCACGTGGCTGCTAGGATTCTGATCTCCTGCATCGACGCTAATCGTTATCGACCTCTTGCCTTGTTGTGGTAGTATCCAAGTTAGTAAGCAATCGTCGACCATCAACCGGGCGGGCACATAAGGACACGAACGAATTCGCTTCTGCGTGTTCTATCTGCAGCATATGCTGAGCCTAAATCGCCTTGATAGAACTGTTGGACGATGAGCAATGGGTGGATGAGGCATCAGATAAAGCTAGTAGTAATATAGAGGCAACTTTTGTTTGAGTGATAGGTTGAATATCCACCTTATCACTGATTTAGTATAATGACTGTGGTAGGCAAATCGTGCCTGGATTTCACAATCTGAGAGATCGAACGAGTGACATGCGGATGCACACTCAAAGCCTTTCTACCAACTGGTTTAATCGAATTGAAAATGACGGTCCCTCCCCTCTCATTACCCGTCGGATCATCTTATTTGATCAGCGCATGTCAGAGGCCCTCGTGTGCGCTCAATATCCAAGCA